AGCCAGAGACTGAATCTAGCTGGACTACTTTGGACTAAAGTTATGTCTATGGACTTGAAAAGAATCCCTGTGGAGTAATTTCTGCCAATGAATCTTCAGAGACTGGCAGAAAGGCAAGTATATATGTAGATACTATATAGTTCCATTTCTGGGAGGGGGGAATGCCACCACGGGGAGGGAGGGAGAGGGCCAAGTCTACCTTCCGATCATTGGGTCTCTCCAATCCTAATGTTTCTTAGAAATGGTCATCTTGCAATAGATGTGGTCATTCCAAAATAAAGAATAGTGAATGGTCATTGTAATACATTGGTTAATATCTGAGTGAGATACAAGTGCATTCTGAAATTAGGTTGTTTTGTATTAAAACTGTGAGACTGATCAGTTGGTTAAATGTCCTCAGCCTAACGCGATCATTTGTTTTCCATCAATACAATGCAGTGTATATTGCATACTTGATTAAGTTTCTCAATTAAATAATACTGGAAGAAAACATCAGATTGATTTTATTTGGCTGTTCCTGCTACCAGCTAAATGCCAAGCACATCTGAGCTACTGCTGAATCACTAGAAAGGATGTCACCATAGCAAATTGACCCCTTAGCATATAACATGTTTCTGTACAATGTGGTACGTGCTTATAAGTGTGGAAAGCACATTTTTGTTCAATATACCAAAATAGAGTGAACCACATGTGATGTGACTAAGTGAAGATACTCTTACTTGATTTGCAATGTGTAACAGAGAAGTTTCAGGCATGAAAAACAATCTGCATAAAGGTTATAGGTTCAGTTTGCAAATCATGTCTTTTGGTTTGGCAGTCATAGACTTTTTCTGTCTAGAGGGCAAGTTTTTGTTATTTGCCTTTTTTCTTGAGTAAAACAAATAAAGATAAATAAGATATAAAAAGAATGGCTCTTTCCCTTAGACTAAACTTGCTTCACCCGAAAAACCAATTCAGCTATTTTTGACATGATTAACTCATACTAAATTAGACATCAACTTGCATATTTGAAATTAAGCACTGTTTCTTTTAACAAAATTAGATGTAATGGAAGTTTGTGAAAGTTCATCTGTTAATTTTTCCAATTTTCAGTGCTACTAAATCAAATATTGTACTATAGTATTTACAATTTTTCCTGCATATGCTTACCACATTTTAAATTATTTTCATTAAATCTGCGTAATTTAAATCAGTCTACTACTGATGCCATATGATTCTTCAATTAAGAAGTTTATTTCATGGTGTAACAATATCAACTTCTATCATCCCTTCGCAAGAGCTTCTACAGATTTGTGGGAGAATGATGGGTGTTGATGCTTTAGGAGGTCATATAATATAAATTTGGGTGACTGTTTGGTATGCTTCTGGGAAATTCAAATATGAATGAAGTCCCCCCTCCCTATTTAAAAGATCAGTTTTTCCTCTTACCTGCCAGACTTCACCGATACATTGTTTGAACTAGAAGGTTAACAGAACGATTTGGAGACATACTATATCTCTTGATAAGAGGTTTATTGTAGGCATTAGAAAAGCAGTTATTTTAGGACTTCTGGCTGGGTCTCCACACTCCCATGCTGAGTTCTCCCCATTGGAAGGCTCCAAAAGGAACTAAAGCCACCCTCTAGGGGTGGTGAAGAAAAGAGGGGCCCCTGAAGGTCGCAGGGAGCAGCAACTCTTCTGCTTGGCCCAGGGCTTCTTCCCTCTCATCCACAACAAGGAGAAGAAGCAGTCATCATGGCTGCCATAAAGCTGGGACAGCCAAGGCAACGAAAAAATGTGCAGGAGTGGTGCAGATGAACAGTGACTGGAGCTGGGTGAGAAGATTCCTTTTTTATTTAGACCCTAAACTTAAAAGAAAAAAAAAGGAGGAAAATCCAGGAAAAGTTATTCTTAAAACTATTTCTTAAAGCAATGAACAACCATAGAGAGAAAAATCCTAGACCTGAAAGAAAGAAACTAAGGGGAGAAAAGCTGAAGACCTTTTAAAACATAGAAAATTGGATTTTTAAACTGGGTAGACATTGTTTTGGAAAGGCATTATAAAATGCTGGAACTATCTACTTGAATAGCTGACTTTGCTTCCATAAATTGAACCTATGCTTCACTCTACTGGTGAATGGAATAAACCACACCCCTACAAGTCTAGGAAATTCCTGATAAGAGAAATGAACAACATTTATCTGGAGGACTGTGGTGATACTTACTATTCTATAACTATCTACTTTATGATTACTGGAGATTCTGTTGTAAGAATAAGAAAGACTCTTAAATAAAAGCAAAATGACTTGATTTTTGGAAGCTGCCTCGACTACTTAAATGGAACTGATTAATAATCATGAGATGTAAAGAACTATGATTATTGAACTTTCGGAGGAGCATCATTGGACTTCAATATTTTGTTTTTGGACTTGAGTAAGAGTGGGACTTATTAAAATAAGACAAGATGCTCTATCAGGGGGAAATGAGTGAGCTTTCAAGAGAAATGGTGTTGATGTTTCAAAGCATTAAGGACACTATGTCATATAATCACAGAGAGATAAAGAACCTAATGCAAGGCATAAATGGGAAAATAGAAAATACACTACAACTGACAATAAATGAAGATCAAAGAGTCCAGGAAAGAGAGGAGACAGCAGGAAGAATGGAGGAAAAGATAGAACAGACAAACCAGCAAACAAAGCAAGAAGATATGAATGAGAAGACGATAAAGATAATAATGACTGATGAAATAAACCAAGGGAAAAGTACTTTAAGAGATTTAAAAGTGGAATTGGATAACCTGGAAGATATTTTTGAAACGGAAATAGGGGTTTGGTTGGACACTCTGGAGACCTGCTAGCTTAGGAGGATAGAGATGGGAGAAATATTCAGACTGAATGGTGAAGACACATGCTGATAGAAACAAAGATCCAAAAGAGAAGTATGGGAGGCAAGCCCAAAAACAAATAAAAATTGAAGTATTAAATTGGACAAGAGATGATGGTAGAAAGGATTATTTTTTTATTTTTTTCTCATGTAATGATGGCCTGATTAAAAACTAGAATAGAGGTAGAAATAAGAATACACATCTTTATACAATGCATCTTTATATAAAGCAGAGGGGAAAATTGGAGGTTGAAACATGGTATTATTAGATATGTTTAAATAATAGGATGACCGATACTTGAATGGCGTACTGTGACTTTGAACAGCCAAATAATGAAGGACTATGTCTTGTTATAAACATGTGTATTAACACTAGGATTAGTACTGGTGACCTGACTAGAAGCTACAATAGAGGTAGAAATCAGAAATAGGGGGAATATTAGCAGATATAATTTTTATATACTAGAATATGTAATAATTAGATGGAAAGATTAGATTAGAGGTTGAAAGATGGTATTACTATGTATGTTTAATTATATCATTGGTATTAAAATGGCACATTGAAATATTGAATAACTACTCTAAAACAATCATGTTTATCAATACTAGGATTATATGTTTGATTAATGTAACAACTATTATTGTTATTGTTATTGCTGTTTATATCAAAATGAATTATACCCAGAGGCCACACTGTTCATGTATTGATATTGATGTATCAATTAAATCCAATAAAACTTAAAAGAAAAGAAAAGCAGATAATTTAACCCACATCTACAGCACATCCAATATTCAAGTCTTGTATCTTTTTCTTTTGTATGTTGGTAATGGCAGGATGAGAGTTAAATCATATTCTTTGGGAGGTTATGATGGTAACAGGAATGTGCTTTTCCCTTTTAACTCTTGCCATGGAATTATGGCATGGTATCCTCAGATTGGGATTATTAGAAATATACTGGCTCAGAGCAGGCAGAAATGTGGGAGGCAGTTGCAAAATCAAGTTCCTCCCTTTGTCCAATGAGCAATCTAACCAGTCCATTACCCTGTATATGTATGTATGTATGCATGTCTATGTATACCATGTTTTCCCCAAAATAAGACCTGGTCTTATATTTATTTTAGCTCCCAAAAATGCATTAGGACTTATTTTCGGGGAAACAGGCTATCAGGGTGATCAGCCCAGCTGGACGCCCCACCTTCTGGCATGAGCACAGGGCCAACGGTGTCCAGCAGCAGCCCCTTGGTCGGTGCACTTTGTGGTTGCACGGTCGGCACAGTGCAAGTGAGTTCATTATTTGTCCAAACAGCAGATGGAGGCAAAGATGCGGGGGGAAGGCATACAGGAAGCCAAGTGTCAGTGCGTAGGAGTGGTTGTCTGGCCGTGGGAGGCTGGTCTTTGTGTGGTGGCACCAGCAGCAGATGGAGGCAGAGGCATGGGGGGGGGGGGAGGCAGGCAATCCCAATGCATTGTGCAGGCCACAGGCTAGCCAAGAGATGTGAAGACAAGCCTCCTGTGGCTGCCTGCCTACTCCATCCTACTGTCTCTCAGCTTGCCTGTAACCTGCATGGTGCTTTGGGATTGCCTGTGTTACCCCCGTGCCTCTGTCTCTGTCTACTGCCAGTGCTACTACATGAAAACAACACTCCCATGGATAGCTGCCTGCTCCGGCCCACTGAATCTCAGTTTTTCCACAGTCTGCAAGGCATATCCAGATCTTTTGCTCCCCCCCCCCCTCATGCCTCTGCCTCCATCTGCTGCCAGTGCTGCTGCATAAAGATGACCTCCCATAGCTGCCTGTCTACTCTGGCTCACTGATTCTCAGCTTTCCCATGGCTTGCTCAGCACATCTGGATTGTGTGTCTCCCCAGCTTGCCTCTACCTCTGCCTGCTGCTTTGATAGGTAATCAACTCACCTGCTGCCAGACACCATCAGGCATTGCACCCTCCTTGCCTCTTTTGCTGGCCATGCTCACACACACACACACACACACACACACACACACACACACTCACCGCTGATGAAGACATTTACTGGGGCTTATTTTTGAAGTGTGGCTTATGTTAGCATGCAAAAAATGAGGCTAGGGCTTATTTTCTGGTTATATCTTATTTTGGGAGATTTGTTTATTTATTTAGTGTATGGAACATGTTAAACAGGGATCACCGAGGTGGCTGGCTGCCTCTGTGAAAGGAATTTTTCAGGTGGTGTTATCTTTACCTGCAGGATGCCTCAATGCCAGTAGTCATTCGGATGAGGCACCTTTCTTGTCCCTACATGGTTTTTGCACTCACAGGAATTGAATCGCCGAGCTGCCAACCTCAGCAGTATGCAGGCCCAGCATCTTACCATGTGAGCCACCGCAGCCCCATTTTTGGGGAAACATGGTATATATGTACATTTCCATTTATTCTGTACAGGAACATCTGCTGCAATTCACAATTTTAATCTATTCTAGATTAATACTATATTTTTTGTTCTTTAACAAGTAAACTTTAATTATAACTAATGTAATCTTTATAAAGTATTCATTTTTTAAATATAAATTAAAAAATTATATTCTTGACTTTCTTGACTGTTTTTATTCTTCAGTCTTCCTTCAAAAACTCATCTAATGTTTAGATAGAATCCCATTTTGTTAGCATATTGGGCCAAAACATCTTTGTTTTGTCAATAGGGATCTTATCAATTTAACAATGTGTTTGCAAAGCAAACTTTATACATCAGCATGATTTGTAAACCCAATTGCTTTAAATTACAGTTTGATCTGTTCATTGTCAGAATAAATGCTTAAGAAGGGCATAGAACTGGATAGAAGGAATCAAATTACTTTGCTTTGTATTTAAGGACAAAAAAGAGCAAGGAAAACATTTGCATTTAGCATTTATAGTTTTCTTTTCCATGTCACATGTTACCTTTGTAGTTTCCAGTGATAAGAGAATGCCATTCTGTTTTAAATATGATAATGTCAGTGTTTTTTGGTGAATGTATGTGAACCAAGGTCAATCGCAGCTATTGCAATATTGTAATACATCAGACAAGGAATGTGTTAATTAACTCATCCCAGATGGCGTTCAGCCTCCAAAATCACTAAACAGTCTTTGTGACACTAGAAAGGATAAATGTTATGGGTCAAGTGTTAACATCTAGCACTTGTACCGATAAAGAGCATTCAGGTTAAAATCTTTGTCTGCTTTGGCAGCAACTTTTCTTTGTGTTTATGTGTTCTTTGTTTTTATGGGTAAAAGAAAGACCAAGAATGCTAATAGCAGTAATGCTGTAGAACTGAAGTACAAAAGCTGAGCCATATGTAGATTGTATTAATATTCTCCCAGCAATCAGACTCCTCAATTTTAGCAGTCAAAGCAAGATTTGAAAATACAGATCTAATGGGATCCATCCAGAAGAGAGAATACTTGCACTCGATTCTTGAATGTGTCCTAACCACGTGAGCCACCCATCTCCTAATTCATTGAACTATAAGAAGGAGAAGACGGTACAGCAAAATCTGATGGGCAACATTCTATTATTATAAGCAGTTTCAATAAAAGTAATGTGCGCCTTCCTGTGGAGATGATTTCCTGGCCCAGTCTACTTAGTGGGGCTCATAGGAAAGCAGATTCTGCCTGCAGAAGATGGTACCCTAGGGAGGAGGGACCCAACCCATATTGGGCATGTTACTGTTTCTTCATTAAATATTTTCACGTAAAGCTTTCTTTTTTCATTAAGTATTTTCAAACTATACTTTGGTCTGCCTTTTCATTCATCTAGTCCCTTTTTATTCTCCAAAGCTTGCATGATGGCTGTTTGTGTTTCTAACAACAAAAATTACAGAACAAATGTGATAAAAATGTTGCCACTCCTTTTTTGTTGTTGTTGCATTATTTAGAATGTAGCAAAACTAACTGTACAATTTCATAAATGTACGTATGTTTCTAAAAATTAATTTGAAAGTATGCTGATTCCTGTGATTCAGCAGTCTTCTTGGGTTCTGATTTGCAGAACGCCCCTGATTGCTGCAGGAGTGATTGGAGGACTCTTCATCATCGTCATTTTGGGCCTTACATTTGCAGTTTATGTGAGACGTAAAAGCATTAAAAAAAAGAGGGCTTTACGAAGGTTCCTGGAGACTGAGGTAAAGATTTATCCCTTTTTCTGTAAATATATGCCAGATGCTTAAAAAGTACTGCTGTTTTTCTTTGTCTTGAATTTTTCATTCTTCTATGTATGTGTTTGTATATATATTTTTTTAAGAAAATTCTTCTGTTCCAAATATCTATGAAGAAACTAAAGCTTTAACTGCAGAATAGTAACAGCACATTAAGGAATCCCTTGTACTTCTGCTTTTGATACCTGGATTTTATATAATCAAAGCATGATAATAAGTTATTTGTTTCAGTTTTTGGTTCGTTTAATCCACTTACATCTTCAAAAGGCAGGAATGTGCTAATTTCAGAAGTAATTTTAGATTATATCAAAATTTATCCAGAAAGTTTAAACTAGTATGGACAACATACATACAAACAAATTGATTCATTACTAATATATTTAATCAGTATATATTTTATTTATTTTTATTCACATATATTTATTTAGATTTATCTACCAGAAAGATCAATGGATTTTAGGTGGCATACAAAATAAAACAAATTAAAAATGCAATATAAAACCACATATACAAATACATTTTTACAATCTTTTAAACTGACAAATTTTGAGTCAACAACCCTTGCATCTTAAGTTAAAACAAAATTTCAGGCCAGAAATGTCAAGATCATAAATTTGGAGGGGAGGGAGGAGTCCCTCAATACTGAATATCTCATTTAGGGTAGTGGGAAGAAATATAATTTGCTTAATCTTCCCAAAACTTTGTGGCTAATTGTAAACTTTGACCTCAAGAATACTAAGTCCCATTTTTACAATACTACTTCCCGGAAACCAGAATAGAAAATGACCCTATTGTGAGTTTTGCAAAATGTGGTTTGCAAGATTATGGTAGTTTTATGGACGTAAATCATAAATTGGCCACTACCACTACTTCTAAAATAAACATGAAAAAGATTTATACCATGATAATAGCATTTCAGATTTTGAATATCACCTGTATACAATTTTGTTCCTCCTTACATTTCTATTTAAACTTTGACACCTTCATTCTAGTACCTGAAAATTAATTAAGGGAAGTGGTGTGTAAAAATTATTGTGTCAGGTTTACATCCGAAGCTTTTTCTCTTTGTTATTTGTTTTTGTTCTCAACTAATAATGTAATCCCCTGCTCCCCATAATTTTGCGTGCACAGCAAAGACTGTACTCAGCTAATTAAGTCATCTACAATGTTCATAGAGGCGTGATAATGATGCTCAAAAGGCAGCAAATGGGGCAGTTAGCCCTGCAAACAGACTCCTTGAAACACTGCAGTGGCTTTTTAATCCAATTTGAGCAGGAGTAGTTTTTAATTATTTTCCTTATCCTAAGAAGAGACAGGCTATTTGTCAGTGTTTAGAGGCTAGCCTTTTCCCATTTATTTTTAGAGAAAAATATATTTCCAATCAAAAGCTGGGCAGCATTCTAATCAAGTGACATTTTCTGACTAAGTTCCATTTTCTTTAGTCGTTGGGTAAGAGCACAATGAATCCAAGCTCCATTCTTGACTGCTATTGCTGCATGATTCCAGGAAACTGCAATTTAGCACTGGACTCCTTTACCACTACCACAAAAAGGAAGTCTTTCCTTGTGAGATTTTTTAATTTTTTTTAAAATTTTTAATTATTATTTCCAAAATGGGTTGAATTTCATTTTAATATGTGCTTTTTTTTATGGCATTGTTTATTGCCATACAATAGTAAGTCTAATGGGATAGATATCAATGGTTTCATAAATAAAATATTTGTATAATACATAAAATGGCATAATAGCAATTAATGCATTTTATCAATGTTTGACATTTATATGAGTTTAAACAAAGATGACTTAATGTATAAGCTACATACTTTTTAACCAAGTGATATGCCTCAATGAACTTGGTAAACAGACTGAACAGAGACATATAAAATTCAGTGTTACACATTTATTAGAAAAGACAAAAGATAAAAATGGTATCATCGATCCCAACTTGATTAGTTAGCAAAGAAAGACTCTTAGGTCAAAAGTTAACCAAAAGTATACTTTTTGAATGCCAAGGAGAAGTAAAGCTGTATCTGAGGGTTTTCTGACCAAAGTATGCGGTTAATCTTTCCATGTCCCCCTCCACCATCACCACTATCTGGTTATCAAGAAATATCCAATTAGGTGCTAACAAATCATTTTGGGAAACAGTCCCTGTCTTCGCAGCTGATATTCCTTTTTTGACTTGAAGCAGCCAGTGTTTCTCATGGGACGGTCTGAGGATTGGTTTCATTTCCTCATGGTATCCCCTGGCAACCCTCCCTCTCATTCCACTCGCAGTTCCTTCTATGGCAGGCTGCCAGTGGCAAGCAGGTTGCAGCATAGCTTAACAGCAGCCCTAACCAAAAGTCAAGGTGTATGATCTTGAAGCCTGTGTGATAAATCCTATGTTCTATGTTCTAAACGATTTGGGTAAGTTTTCCATTGCAAACAGAGAAAATTGCTTGATGCAGTTTCAGTCGAATCATCCCAGTGAAGCAGATTTACAAATAACACAATGTGCAGCAAACTGGATGGATGCCAAAGTGACCTGCTATGTTAAGTGTTTAATGACACAATCATGCAAATAGTGCCATTAAATTTTGAGTCCTGATGCAAATATATAACTTACAGCACTGTGTGATGACATACTGGTAGAACATAGAATAATAAAGTTGGAAAGGACCTTGGAGGTCTTCTAGTTCAACTCCCTGGCCAAGTAACAGACTTTATACCATTCTAGTCCAATGGTTGTCCAATCTCTTCTTTAAAAACTCCAGTGATAGAGCACCTGCAACTTCTGGAGGCAAGACATGCCACTGATTAATTGTTCTCATTGTCAGGACATTTGTCCTTATTTCTAGATTGGATCTCTCTTTAATTATCTTCTACCTGTTATTTCTTGTCCTACATTCAGATGCTTTGGAGAAGAGGTTGACCCCTCTTCTCTGTGATAGCCCCTCAAATCTGTTTCTTAGACTAGACATATTTAGTTCCCTCAACCATTCATCACACTGGAGGTTAAACTGCACATATACTTTGGGCAGTTTAACCTTCAGAGCCCTATTTTTGTTGTTGTTGCTCTTCTCTGTACTCTTTTGAGAATCTCAGCATCTTTTTTATATCACACTGACCAGAGCTGGATGCAATATTTCAAGTCTGGTTTCACCAAACAATATAAAGCGGTACTGTCACTTCACATAATCTTAACACTATCATTCTGTTGATGCAGCCTAGGACTACAGTGGCTTTTTGGCAGCTACTGGCTGTCTTCCACTAGGATGTCTAGATTACTCTGACTGTTACTATTGAGGCAGGTGCCACTTATTCTATATCTGTACATTTGACTTTTCTTGCCTATGTGTAGGCCTTACTTTTCTCACTACTGAACTGCATTTTGTTCTCTAAGGCCCAGTATTCAGTTCTGTTAAGATCCTTTTTGAATCTTAAGTCTGTCTTCCAAAGTATTAGCTATTCCCCCCCCAGCTTGGTGTCATTTGCAAATTTGATGAGTGCCCCTTCTATACCCTCACTTAGATCATTTATGTATGTGGTGAAAAATACTAGGCCCAAGACAGAATCTTGCATGTTTCCCTCCATGTAGATCTAATTCCATTGAGGACTACATGCTGGGTGTGATTGATTTGTCAATTGAGAATCCATCCTGCTTGCTTCTAGTACCGTAATTGCCTTGCTAATTTCTAAGTGTTCACATATTCACTGCTTTTCCAGGATTTTCTCAGGTGTTGATGTTAGGCTAATCGATATGTAGTTTCCTAGATCTACCTTTTTATCTTTTTTAAAGATTAGAACCATATCCGCTCTTTTTCAGTCCTCTGGTAGTTTCCCTGTACTCCAGAACCTCTGAAAGGTTTCATTCAGGGGTTCTAAAATCATATCTGCTAGTTCCTTCAAAACCATGGGATGTTAAACCATCTAGTCCTGGCAATCTGAACTCTTCTACAAGGGATAATTGTTCTTGTCTATTTTGACATGCATTCCTGTTCCGTGTCCTACGGTGCTGCTTTTGATAGTTGGACTATTTTTTCCCTTTTGAAAGATGCAAAATAAATTGAATTAACTAGTTCCACTTTCTCCCTACTACTTGTTATCTCTTTGCCAATATACTGTATATTGAAAAGAACTTCTCCCCCCATCATTTTTGGCGTTTGTTGTAAGTCTTACTTCATTCTGAAACTTAGCTTTCCTGGCTCATTTCTTGCAGATTCAGGCTATTTGCTAGTATTCTGTCTTAGTTATGTGTCCCTTTTTCCCTTTTATATATTTGTCCTTTTTGTCTTTCAGTTTGTTGGATAGTTCTTTATGCAACCATGATGGTTTCATCTGGGGTCTCTTGTTTGCTTTCTCTGTGGTATTGTGTTAGACTGGGCTTCTATACTCATTTTTCAGGGTTTCCCAAGTATCTTTAGCTGTTTTTTCCTTTAGGGCTTCCATCCATGGAATCCATCCTAAATTGTCTCTTACTTATAAGTGAGCTCTTTTGAAGTCTAAGACACTAGTTTGACTTTGTTCAGTAATTTGTGCCTGCATTATATTGAAT